GCTATTTTTCATCGTAGCAGAATGCTAACGACCTTTTACACTAACAGTAGTAATATGTACTTAATCGCTATGTTTTCACTTGTAAAATCGGTGTTTAAAAAAATCCATAAGAGAAATAAGAAGAACTAAACTTATTGTTTTTTCAGAGTTAACGAGACCAATACTTTTCTTCAGTTATAACAAACTATTTAAGCTGGAATATAAAAATATATCTATTAATCACATATAAACTATATACCACGACGAGTTGGTTCAACTTCAATAGAAATAAATACAATCACAAATAAGATATTTCTTTTTTACAAACTCAGAGTAAAAATTAATTTAAATTTATTGAAAATTGCACGAAATCTAAGTAATGATTGAAATCTACGAAGCAATACAGTATAAATTAACTCTTTGAATAAAACCTAAAAGTTTATAAACCCCATAAAAATATTGTCATAACCTGACTCCTACTCCATATAATCAGTGCCTTTCACATTTCACTGTCATTATATTGTTAACAATTATTTATATTAATTTTAATTATTAAATGGAATTAAATGAATTGCAGATTAGGAAATGTCTATACTATTCTTTGAATTTCTTCTATGTTTGGGTTAAATTGTCAGTTTTCAAACTAAAGGCTTGCCAAATAATACGTTTGCTGATCCAAAAGTGAAACTATTTTTTTCTAGGAGAGGTGGATAGAATTTGATCAAATTCATACCTACGTGATTATCGAAATCGAACATGGGATTTTAGAGATATAGACAATTCAAGGAACAAAGTTTGCTCATATATATGAGAAATTATTGGAAAGAATTCAATAAAATTGATATAATGTTATTTTTTTAACATGACTAACCTTTTATCTAACTTTGAGCCAAATCGATCGAGCCTTTTCTGAAATATTGACATATATAAAAAATACGTTTGCGCGTGCGCAAGGGGAAGTGCTGGATGGAATTTAATCAAATTGATATGGGACCATCTAGCCACCAATTTGCACAATTCCTATAAATTTCATGAAAATCGGACAGTACTAGGTGATATGCCCGTCACATCGATTTGACTACATACAGACAGACAAACACCGAACCGAATTTGATCCTTGATGTCTGAAACGTAAAACGCGAGTCGAAATTTTCAAATCTGAGCACAAAATTTTTTTTAACCTCTCTCACGAATACAATGCTTCCCTACCTTCAATAGTGAGGAAGCTAAAAATTATCATCAGTAATTCGCCTGCATAAAAGATCACAAAACATGACTTCACATTATGTTAGCGCTTCAATGATTGTTTCATTGAAATTGCGTACATGGCCACTTTCTTTTTAGACGTCTAGGAGAGTTTTTGTAAATATTTGAAAAAAGATAACAAACCTAAGGTTTTAAGATGGCAAATATTCGCTTTTAAAAGAGGTATTTCTAATAAATAAACAAAGCGTTTATTCCTAATAATATAAAATAAACTTTTCTTGGGTCAAAATTAATTAAAATGCGATATAAATATAGATAAGTAAATATAAATATAGAGTGAGCTTTCGTCATCCATCCTTAGCCTGCTACGCTTGTTATGCACTTTCCATCTCTTCAGTTATCTTCCTCATATCCTCAATAATACTACTGACATAAGAACCGGTGTACCTCAAGGTAGTGTCTTTGGTCCAATATATTTTAATATTTTCACGAATGATATTCAAAAAATTACTACCAGATACGATTCGTATTTCTTTTTAGACGATTCTCTTTTTATCTCATACCATAAAAATTATCAAACGGTGTTGTGTTAAAAAAACAGAAAGATATTATAATATTTCTTTAAAATGGACTCATGAAAAAAGACTTATAATGAACAAACACAAAACTGTCGTATACAACCACTACATATTGTGTCAGTAGATCATCCTATAATAAAAAACCACGACTGCATTTGTCTTAACAATAATCCTGATAAAAACTCATGCTCTTGTAAAATTTTAGACGTTGTTGATAGGCATAAATATTAAGTTGTTACTCTACTTTTCCTAGTAACCCCATATTACTTATATATTAGGACGATTACGAACATACTTTATTGTCTTCAATGTTTACTTAATAAAGAATCGTTAATAGAGGTTTATAAGGCATTTTTGGCAGGGATTGAATGCTTTGGAGCTAGTAGTGCAGATATCCATTTATCGAAACCCTGTAAATTACAAAACAGGACATTGAAAACTATAACAAAAACAGAGATACAGAAGAAAACTTCAAAATAGCTAGATCATTACCACCAAATTTATTTTACATATACAAAATAGCAATCAAATTCAAGCATGATGATTCATTTAAAAATGAAATCAGCTACGTATAAAATGTCAGAAACCATACCAAGTACTACGAACCTACTAGAATTTAAACCGGTAAGTGATTCGGTGCAAAGTGGATGATTAAAAGTTTTAAATTTTATTAGATTTTTAGTGATTATCCATAATGATTTTTCGCTGGTTGCTAGGTTGTGAATAATGTCCTAAGACATTTCGAATGTTTTAATTTTAATTTTATTTATCAATATATTATAATTAATATAAAACATTGAACATTTCATACATTTCAAAGAGCAATAAATTTAATTTTTGCTAAAATGCCCAACGTTTTAGTTTATATCTATAATATATAATAATTTTCTCAGACACCTTAGAGGAACATTTAAAACATTTACGAATAGTATTTGAAAAATTTAAAGAACACATACTCAAAACTCGACAATACTGATTTTTTTTAAAAAGTACTATCATATCTAGGAAACGCAATTTTAGAAAACAATATAAGACCTAGTCCAATAAAAATAGAAGTAATTTAAAATTTGTGTACTCCGAAAATACAAAAACAAAAACTATGCTAAAATTGCTAAAGCATTAACTAACGCGTTGTGAAGTGTTAATAAAATTAACATTAAGAATAAAGAATTTATTAATGCCTTTGAATATTTCAAAACCACTTTTATTAAACCAACCAATAATTAATCTACCTGATTTTGATAAACAAATCATTATAACAACTGAAGATTCCAATTTTGCTCTCGTTGCAGTACTTTCACAAAATTTTAATAATAAAGATTTATCCAGAGTATACGTTTCGCGAACATTAAACACCCATGAAGAAAATTTGTCTTCTATTAATAAAAAATACTTGCAATTGTTTGGGAATGTACACATTTTCGACCTTAATGATACGTTAATAAATTCATAATAGAAACAGATCATAAACCACTGCAATAGTTACTAATTTATGAACCTAATTCAAAACTATTACGATGGAAATGTTTATTATCAGACTTTGATTTTTAAATTAAACATGTAAAAGGTAAAACAAACATTGCAGCAGATTTTCTATCTCGTGTTCAACCTGTGCATATAATTGACAAAATAAATCCGGACGATGTATTAAGTGAATATCCTCTTCAACCAGATGAAGAAACTAATGACGAAATTAATGATAATAATAGTATAATGACAATATACTTACAAAAAAGATCCAATGAACAAGTTACATTGGCAGATAAAGACAAAATAGTAAACATAGAAAAAAAATCAAATTATTTCACAACGTGGGAATAAATCACATATAATACAAGAACAATTTGGTAAATCTATATACCAAATTCTGGTCATATACAAAAAAAGAAAATGGTATACCTTCAATTTCGTAAACCAAACACAACTTACGGAATTTATTGTAATCGTGAAGGTCACTCAAAGAAGAATATAATATAAATACAATTTAATGTTCAAAAAATTTAAAAATATAATTATTCATTTTTTTTACAATTAAACTTAAACGGTACAAAAATTCAAATTTTGATATACTTACACCGAAAAACAAAAATAAATTATAGCTAATTATCATGTTGAAAAACCTATCATTGTGGAATAAATGAAATTATTTGCAAATTAGAAAACTTTATTATTGGCTATCCGTATTGAGAAATATTACAGATTATATAAATAAATGTCCTATGTGTCTAAAAGTAAAAAAATGAACGTAAACCAATACAATTAAAATTTAAAATTACCATTACACCGGAAATCCCTTTTGAAAAAATTGCAAATAGATATATTCTATTACTGTAGAATTAAATTTTAAGTTATAATAGACTGTTTTCAAAAAAAAACTAATAAAATATCCAATAAATAATTCAAATAAAATTAAAATTCAAAATTGTTTGTATGATTAATCTATTCATATAACAATTGACAACACTTTCAACTTAAACTCTGATAGAGTTGCACTGATTTCAAAAATAGTTTTTTTTTTTTTTTTCTGCCTTTTCAACTTTCTTTTAGATTTGGTGTAGAACCCATTTTTCTCTTGTGGTCTTCAATCTATGGCAGTCTTGCGCAATGTGCTTGGCTGTTCTTCAAACATAACAAATCTCAAAGGTAAATAGAGATGTGAAAAATCACAATGCTCAATCCTTAATCGGCTAGAGACCGTTTCTTTTTCCTTTACGAATAGGTAAGAAGATTCCCAATTGTAAAACTGTCTTTTTATTTCCTTTAATCTATATTCTTTTTGTTCTCATTCACTGCACCATATTTAAGTTCCATAATTTTCTTTAATAAGTCTACTAAAGGAACTTCATTCGTTACATATAAATGTAACCATATTAGTTCCAGGCTATTTGGATAAAATATACATTATAACAATAAAAATGAATGGTTACTAAAGGATGAAAGGAATACTAAATTAAAGCATTACAAATATCGTTTCATAAAAAGTTATTTATGTACGTTAGGAGAAGTGTGAAAAAATCGTGTAATATTTATTGTTAGTATGGACTTTTTAGAAAATATGTACAAATTTTTACAAGTTTACATTTGTATACAATGATTAAGATTGAAATTTTAATGAAATAATTTGCAGTAGAAAACATTATTTAGTATGTTACATGAATATATGTTGTGTAGTTTTTTTTATTACATATGAAAAATATTTTATCCCCTAAAAAACTCAGGAGCTGCAAAAGAAGCAACTGTTGAGAGTGTAAGAGGTCTCGACCCGGGAGCTTGGATGTTTGGTCTTTCGGCGTGGAAGCCGGTCTCGTCCGCGTACCAGTTGACGGTGATGACCTGGCCATCAGGAGCTGTGTAAGAGTAGCTTCCTCGGGCAGTCTGCGCTTCTCCTTCAGTTCCTGGATTCTTCAACGAGCCTTCCTCTTCAACTGTGATCCCATTACTTGTCTGGTATCTGTATAAATAACATGGCGACATATCAAACATTATATTGGTTTGTACCTAATATCAGCCGAGGTAGGATTAAACATGACCTGAACAAAATGGAAATGTTTACACACATCCGCACATACGTACATAGAGAAAAGTTATCAAGTAAAATATGTTGAAGACATTTAAAAAATATAAAATATTTTCTCAGGTATAAATTAATGAGTAAATTACAACAAATATAATCTTTAGGATAGAATATACATATATAATACCTGTACTTATAAGTACCATCGTAATTATTTTCGCTCTCGGATGATATAATTACGTCGCTGTTTGGAGGTTGCTGACTCTGAGCAATCGCCAATCCCAAAATCAAAAGGAACCAACTCTGTAACAGACAGAATCATTTATATATTTAGGGAATAATTTAAACGTTTTTAGGTAGCCCAGTTGCTGACAGAATAAAGGAGGATTCAAATCAACTATCATTTCCTTGAACCAGAGAAAATTTTCCCCAATAAATTAAATCAGAAGTGAATTGTGAATTCTTAAAAGGAGGATAAATTAACATAATAGAAATTCGGTAGTATTGTCGAAGTTCATCCCTAACTTGTCAACACCTGTGATTATTTATTATATGTGTGTGTATCTTGGAATTTCTGGTGCAGATTGGTTATCCTACAAGTAAATGGTATCCTCTTGTAAGCAGAGTGATGGGGTCGAGATTCGTACCGTGAGTAGTCCACAAAATAAATTCCAACCTACCAAAGCCCGATTAGAACCAGCGCGACGCCATGAAACATCATAATTTATACAGCGCATCTGCTTACTATAAAATAAAACTGCTGAGGTCAATTGTTATCGTTTAAGGTAAACGTATTTCAATCAATCATTATGATTTAATTTAAGTGAGAATGTTTCTTCTCGATTTTACAATAATAGTATATAAAGTAGGAATGAGACTGTTCATCTATTACCAGTATCGATTAATAACGGACAAGGACCGCTGTACTAAAATTCAAACCTTAAATTAAAGATTCTAGGAATAACTACCAACGCTTTTAATTGTTGCTGAGGTCTACATCGTTGACTTATAAACCCGTTGTTTTTTTTTATATTGCAACTTCCTCATAAATTTTTGTAATGTCAAAACTCTTTAACCTTTCTTAGTAAGTGCTTTTATAAAACTAAAACAAACTTAATTATTTATTTTATTTAAATGATATAAAGTGTGACCAATTACATGTTTGAGTTCAGAAACGAAATTGTTGATCAATTTATACAATATTTTAACTTTGTATCTCAAGACAATTTGCATGCTATAAATAAACTTCAAATGGATTCTTCTGTCTTATTATTGTTTTTTCATCTTTTACGTTTCAGTCCGTAGGTGAAACGTAAAAGATGACAATAAAATGACAATAAAATTTATTAAATTAACGAATGACAATAAAATTTATCATTAAAAAGGATTTGAAGTTCATTTGTCGAACAGTCTTTCTTGTTTCATTTGCTATTTAGTACTGCATTTAAAAAAAAAAAAAAAAAAAAAAAAAAATATATATATATATATATATATATATATATATATATATATATATATATATATATATATATACAAGAAATATTTTTTAAGTTACTAACTCGTAAATGATACAAAAAAGACAAGAAAATAAGTCTGAAATAATATTTAATTTCAATATTTTCCTTAATAGTGGTCTTTTGAAACATTGAAGATGAAAATAAAAATAATTGAGAAAACAGAATTGAATTTAAGATATGTTTACTATATAACTGCATTTGTAGAAATAATTTTGTATACAATTTACCTAAAAATGCAATATTTTTTTTTTAATTTTGCCAAACGAACAAAAACTCTTTTCGTCATTCTTTTTTCCTATTATTTCTCAGAAATGTGCTGTATTTTTCAAAACTTAAACAGCTTTAAGACGAATAATTTAGTCATGGTTTACCAACAACTTTAGAGCCGTTTTAGCGTTACAAGCTAAAGGGAAAAAAAAATTGCCTATTGCACAGGAGCAACTGCTAAACTAAGGGTGATCTATTTTGTTCACTTGAATCGCTTTCCAAAAATGTACAAAACTGTAAAAAAAAGTATAGGTCCTTTCTTTTAATGAATAATTTCTTCGCTACAACACACATAGATTAATGACCAAAAATGTGTATTTTGGTTTCAGCGGGCTCTGAAACATAAAATATCTAAAAAAAAATTAGCCGACCTTATTAGATGGGCACAAGATCACACGAATCATACTCATAGGTGGCTACTGTCATAGCTGAACTTGTATTAAATCCTATTTATAGAACACACAATATCAGAAAAATCACTACAAATTTAATCATAGACAGATTGAAGATCTTTATACCAAAAAAAGATAAGTCCAGATATAAAAATTTTTAAGATATATATTATATTAAATAAGACAAATATTACAGTTTATAATGGGTTGTAAGTAATTATGAAAATCATTACTGCTTTAATTAGATCACAACTGTCAGACCGCTCATGTAATTAGCACACCACCAAACGGATCCTTCTTTGTTGAGATGTTACCTTAGCAAGCATGCATGGTTCCTCGTCAATGGAGATGGATTCCAGAGACGGAGAAGATTTTTTTGTATGTCTAATTTTTAATTCTAAACTTTAAAATTATTGTTATTCTGAAATACTTTTGCACAATAAAACAAGAAATCATAGAGGAAATATGGGGAGAGAGTTAGTGAACGTTTACTTTTGAAATTCCATCTGTAGTATGGTCGATATGTTCTTGTAGTCCGTTGAGAATTCATCTGCTGCATCTTCCATAATTACTAAAAACATTATATCGAAAATTTGTCCTTATTGAAATATTTCTCCTTCGTAGTAGCGGTACAAAAGAAAAATGATCAAACTGTCATGGATAAAAGTGAAGTATTTATTGAAATAATTATAAATACATTTTTCAAAAATCTTTCTTCCATTTTAAACCTTAACTATAAAAAGTATAACCATTGATGATTTGCTGAAGCATCGTTATTCCGAAATGAATGACTAATGGTGTAGACATGATGCAATATTTCTCAGACAGCCAGAACCGCATCGAACTTCATCATGGCTGGTTTCATCATGGCTGTGCCCTCTTGACACCGTCGCTGTAACACAATTTATTACATATGCCTGCATAATGTAAGTGATTATTGTATTAATGTGAGTGAGCATTAAGTTTTATTGTATTGTTAAGGAATACAATAAAATTCATAATTTCAATTACAATTGGAAACCTCTATATTCTAATCACAGTGAGAATCTAAAAAATAAAAACGAGAATTTCTTTATAAAACTTTTAAGTTAGATCATTAATAAATAAACATTTTGAAAACCCCCTGTAATAAAATAACTCTTTGATTAATCTGAACGAAATTTGAAGGGTCAGTAACGGTCATCAATTTACTGTTGAATTTAATTTTGAAAATCTCTTTAATATATTGTCTGGGCTTTATTCTGTAACCGATCATAATTGAAGAAAGGGCTAGATTTCTGCAAGATTGCAAAAGTATACATTTATATTCTTCAGATTCTTAGCGATGCTTGATATGTTTGACTTTGTAGTTAGTAGCATTACTAATACATAGCTGTTATAGTGAAATATCATAGCTACTTTTCAAACATTCCTTACTCCTGCATATTTAATACTTTGTTTGTAAATATCAATAATTTTGTAATATCCTCTAAAATAATTAACATAAAATTGTGCCAGCGAAATCGCACTTACAGAAGAATACCAAAACCATCGTTTCGAATGGAGTGAAAACAAGAACCCTCAATGCTTTTGGTTTAATGACGCTCTTTAAACCAAGAGGTGCTATTACATGGAACTAATTGCAAAATAGTGGATCAAACGATAACTGATACCCTGATCCACAAAAAATGTAGACATGGAAGTCAATGGACATGGATGGACAAAAAAACATATATATGGATATTGAAAAAAAAATCCAAACGACTTTGTCCAATGGGTCTATACAAGCAGAGGTGAATGGAGGAGTGTTGAAAAAATATAAAACCGGCTAAAACTATTTCGTTCTTATTCCGATTTAGATAATAATATTGACATTTTAATGATTCTCTGTTTTTACTCATACGCTTACTCTTCAATGTAAACTTATAAATGTAAAGAATATATAAAACCAAAAATTTCTCTATAGTTAAATATATGTAAAAAATATTTAATGTATTAAGAAAATTAGCCGAGCAGGTTTTGCATATCAAAATGGCCAAAAAAGATTTATGTTGAAAATATTATAGATCAGATCAGAAATCAGATCAGAAAACAGATCAGAAAAAGATAAGTTTCTTTTTATTGTCCTACTACACAAGTTAGTAAATAATTTAAGATATTAAACATTGATCCCACCGTTAGCTTAAAAATCGTAGCATAGGTTTTTGCAAATAGATATAAAAAAAAACATTAATACAATTAAACGAATTTGATTTAATCACGGGTCTGTATTTCAAATCAAAAATTATAGATATCATCCGAACAATATTTAGAAAATAGGATATTTCTGAAAATGGGGGCAGAGCCCTGAATCCTTGATTACGTAGCAGAAAAAATAATTAATTATAAGGATAACTCCAGGAGGAATATATTTTTTTTCGCATATCTTCAAAAATTACTTAAAAAATCCTTTCTGTATTCTAGGATTTGTCAAACATTCTTTTCATAACTCCTAAGACATATTGGAACAAACGCCAGTACATAGGTATAATATTTTACGATGCATTATCACCAAGGAAACTTATTTTGAATTCTGTAACCCACTGACGGTTGAGTTCACTCTTGTACGGCAAAATAATTGTGGACGAGCTATACTTTACTTATAAAAAACCAAGTTATTTGATTAAAAGCATTTAAATTTTTAAACAGCATTTCTATTTTCCAGTCAATGAGGTTATATAGCCAGCGCAGGGTTTATGTAGGAATCAATTTATATTTTTAAAATGGTAGGCGAATATTCAAGGAATCACGAAAAACAAAAACTTACAAGTATCATCGTTTCAATCCACAGGCCTGAAGGCTAAACTGTAGGGTCCTGTGGTAACCACTTAGCTATTATATAAGTATTTGCCCCACCACGATCTCCCTCCTCTATTCACAATATTCTTAATCAACAGAATCGTAATTTTTTTTTCTTTATTGAAAATTTTACTATTTGTCTCAAAATATACATTTATAATAGTGTTCAGAGATCACATTCACAATCTATGTACAATAATAATAATATATATACAATAAATAAGTATAAAATAATCTAGAAAATAAATAAATAAAAAGAACACAAACATACCTTACATACCTACAAACATATACACTATTTACAATCAGGCGAGAGAACTCCGAGCCAAACTTATCCTTCCAACTGTGGAGGGAAAAGCATGACTCCAGGAGATCTCTGCACTTCTCTCTCAACCGCGCCACTGGGGCTAAAGCCAGTGGAGATTGAGCGAAAGTGCTTTAGCCACATACACTCATGTCGTGAGTAGAGAATCAGAAACTAGAACTCATATTAACAAACTATAAAAGGTCGCGGGGCCACTGCCGTTTTAACCTTCTTGGAAGATTATAGGTATGGTTGGTGCTGGATAAGGATTGTGAAAAGTGATTCGGATGATAGCTAAGGTTCTGGTGAAATTTGGAGAATTTGGCTGGAATAAGGTCTAGGACAAATGGGATATTAAGGTCACCACGATGTAAGGTTATGTTGGTTACATAGAAAGGAGCATCGACTATTGTTCGAAGGACTTTGGACTGGAAGGATTGGATGCGGTTGATGTTAGAAAATTTCTGCTGTTCCCCACAATTCAAGTCTGTAAATCTAAGTAGGTTTCAGTATTGTCCTGTAGATAAATATTTTATTTTCAATAGAAAGTTTAGATTTTCTATTTAGAAGTCTGTATTTTAGGCCATATCGTCGGTTAAGTTCCTGTCTTTTAAGTCTAGTATGAGGGTCCCAAGTTAGTCGTCTGTCTAAGAGAAAAGCAAGATACCGGACTGTATCTGAGAAAGGAAGCTGGATAGAATTAAAGTGTACTGGTGGACATGAACTGCGTCGGAGTGTGAAGATAATGTGTTGGCATTTGGATTCATTTACTTTAATACGCCATTTATAACAGCAGTGCTCAATCAAGGCGAGGTACATTTGCAAATTTGAGGAGGCTATTTGGGGATCAGAGTTGGATGATAAGATTGCGGTGTCATGAGCAAATGTTGCCCGGAAGGTATCGGAATGGAGAGGAATATCGGCGGTGAAGACTATGTAAAGGACGGGATCCAATACGCTGCCGTGTGGAACACCAGCCTAAATTGAATAGCAATTGAAAAATTCAGTGCCGCAGCGAACTCGGAAGGTACGATCACAGAGATAGGAGCGCTGGACAAGGTATAAGAACTCAGGCAGATGGGTTTTAAATTTGAAAAGAAGCCCGACATGCAATACGCGGTCAAAAGTTTGAACTATGACCGGAAATCCACCCGAGCAATATTGCTTGCTTTCCAGGAGAATCATTATTAAATCTATAAATCAACCAAATATTATTACTGCTTCATTCTATTCCTTAATAAAAAATAAGCTTTAATCATTATATTAAAAGCGTTCAAGAGCTTTTTAATACAAGGTATGTCATGGGTGTATGTGATGTAGAGTAATGGAGCGAGTACTGAACCTTGAGGTACTCCTGCTGAAATAGACCTGATGGAAGATAGTTCTGACCTGTGTCGGACCGAGAAAAATCTATCGGAAAGGAACGATTGTAGAATTAGATAATATGTAGGTAGGAGTATTGTCTTGAGTTTAAAGAGAATATCCTGGTGCCTCTCTGTCAAACGCTTAAGCAACATCCAGAAATACGGCAGGTGCATATACTTTCTGCTCTAGTGCTGTAGATATGTAGTCCGTTACTCTATGTACTTGGTGTACAGTTGAGTGGTGTGCCCTAAATCCAAATTGATGGTCAGGTATTATTTGGGTGTTTGTTAGTATATCAACAAGTCTTTTGTTCAGTAAGCTTTCAAAAATTTTGGAACAGTTAGGTTGTAAGCTGATTGGTCGGAATGAGGAAGGTGAGTCCTTGTCCTTGTTAGACTTGTGAATCATTATTATATGTGAGTATTTCCACTGTTGTGGAAATTTAATTGTCCTCAGTATTACATTATAAATAGTTGTTAAAAGCACTAGAGCTTTTCTAGGCATTTGTTGGAGCACTTCAGCGTTGATCAAGTCATGCCCAGGAGCTTTTCTTTTAGACAACTTTTTGATTTATTCAGCAATCTGGGAAGGTATGAATGAAATAGGAACCGGACGATGCATTAAGTGAATTTTTGGAACAGTATCCTCTTCAACCAGATGAAGAAACTAATGACGAAATTAATGATAATAATAGTATAATGACAATATACTCATGAAAAAGATTGAATTAATAAGTTACATTAAAAAAAAATTAAATTATTTCAGAACGTGGGAATGAATCACCTATGACACAAGAAATATTTGGTAAATCTATATACCAAATTCTGGAGATGCACAAAAAATGAAAATCTTATACCTTCAATTTCTTAAACCAAACAAACCTTACGGAATTTATTGTAATCGTGAAGGTCACTCAAAGGAGAATATAATATAAGTATAATTTAATGTTCGAAAATTTTAAAAATATTATTATTAATTTTTTTTACAATTAAACTTGAACGGTACAAAAACTCAAATTTTGATATACTTACACCCGAAGAACAAAAAGAAATTATAGCTAATTTTCATGTAGGATAAACCTATCATTGTGGAATAAACAAAATTATTTACAAATTAGAAAACTTTATTATTGGCCATCTATATTGAGAGATATTACAGATTATATAAATAAATGTCCTATTCGTCTAAAATTAAAAAATGTACGTAAGCCAATGTAATTAAAATTGAAAATTACCGCAACATCGGAAAACCCTTTTGAAAAAATTGCAAACGGATATATTGCATTAAGCTAGAATTAAATTTTAAGTTATAATAGACTGATTTCTAAAAGACTAATAAAATATCCAATAAATAATTTAAATAAAATTGAAATTCAAAATTGTTTTATGATTAATCCATTCATATAACAATAGACAACACTTTCAACTTAAACTCTGATAGAGTAGCACTGATTTCAAGATTTCGAATTTTTTTTTCTGTCTTTTCAACTTTCTTTTAATTTGGGGTAGATACCATTTTTATCTTATGGTTTTCAATCTATAGTAGTCTTGTGTAATGAGCTTGACTGTTCTTTAAACATAACAAATCTCAAAGGTAAATATAGATGCGAAAAATCACAATGCTCAATCCTTAATCGGCTGGAGACTGTTTCTTCTTTCTTTACGAATCGGTAAGAAGATCTCCAATTGTAACATTGACTTTTTATTTTCGTTAATTTATATTCTTTTTGTTCTCATTCACTGTACCATATTTAAGTTCCATAACTTCCATAATTTTTTTTAATAAGTCTACTAAAGGATCTTCATTCATTACATATAAATGCAACCATAGAAGTTCCTGGCTATTTGGATAAAATATACATTATAACAATAAAAATGAATGGTTACTAAAGGATGAAAGGAATACTAAATTAAAGCATTACAAATATCGTTTCATAAAAACTAATTTATTTAGCTTAGAAGAAGTTTAAAAAAAACCTTGTAATATTTATTGGTAGTAGAGACTTTTCAGAAAATATGTACAAATATCTACAAGTTTACATTTGTATACAATGATTAAGATTTAAATTTTAATGAAATAATTTGCAATAGAAAACATTACTTAGTATCTTACGTGAATATATCTTGTGTATTTTTATTTTATTACATAGAAAATATATTTCATCCCCTAAAAAACTCAGGAGCTGCAAGAGAAGCAGGTTTTGAGACTATAAGAGGTTTCGATCCGGGAGCTTGGATGTTTGTTCTTTCGGCGTGGAAGCCGGTCTCGTCCGCGTACCAGTTGACGGTGATGACCTGGCCATCAGGAGCTGTGTAAGAGTAGCTTCCTCTGGCAGTCTGCGCTTCTCCTTCGGTTCCTGGATTCTTCAAGGAGCCTTCCTCTTCAACTGTGATCCCATTACTTGTCTGGTATCTGTATAAATGACATGGCGACATATCAAACATTATATTGGTCCGTACCTAATTTCAGGCGAGGTAGGATTAAACATGACTTGAATAAAATGGTGATATTTACGCACATTCTTATAGAGAAAAGTTATCAAATAAAATATGTTGATGACATTTAAAACCTATACCTGGATTTTCTTTATCTAAGGGCAGCGTTTGACTCAGTTCCTAGGATGAAATTCGGAACACTTTGGTTGGCAAGAACGTGCCTGGAGATTTGATTGAGGCCGTGAAATCAACCTACCAGAGAGCCCCTGGAGTTGTAAGGATAAATGGCACAGAATCAGAACTTTTCCCAATTGCGAGAGGAGTCAGACAGGGAGATAGTTTAAGACCTCTCCTGTTTTTAAACTTTATGGACGAGATCCGTAAAATCTGCAAGCGTCGGACTGCATAGACTACAATTGGAAATTGGAATATGAGAACTGTCCTCGTACAGAGCTTTCTATATGCGGGTGACATTGTGCTCATCGCCGATTCCAAAATGAAACTACAGCAAGCACTAGTAGAATGGGAAGAAGAGCTGCTGAGGAAAGGTATGCAAATAAATGCCTCCAAAAGCAAGGTGATGATTATGGCGAGGGAAGAAGAGGAAGACGTCGAATTGGTTTGCTACGGATAGATTATTGAGGTAGTAAAGGAGTACACATACTTAGGTACCATAATTACTAACGCTGGTAAGATAGATGCTGAGATTTCGTATAAAATATCTAAGGCGAATCATGAATATCACCAGATCCTTGTATTAAATCGTAGTATCCTCAGCTGCCGCTAAGTGGATACAAATACCAAGATGCACGTCTATAAGTCTGTATACCTTCCTATTCTCACCTACGGTGGTGAAAGTTGGACTATGTTGGACAAATATTATAGTCGCATAATAGCAGCTGAAATGCGATTCCTACGTAGATCGGTGGGCAAAACTAGGAGGGATCATATTAGAAATGAAACAATCAGAGAACAGCTGGAAGTGCCTGAACTAAAAACAACCATGGAAAACAGGCAATTAAGGTGTTTTGGACATGTCTGCCGCATGAACGAGGACATGGACCCTATAAAGATATTAGAGGCTCGACCCACAGCGAAGAGGCCACGAGGGAGACTCTGTCTCATATCAGGAGTTCATGGAGAGGATCGGAGGTAGAAGAGGCAAATCCTTCAACCAAATGAAGCGGTTAAGCAGAGACCGGGTAGAGTGGCTGCGCTGCATAGAGGCCCCTCGACGCTAGAAATGGCATTGTGAGGAAGATAAAGAAGAAGAAGACATTTAAAAAATATAAAATATTTGCTCAGGTATAAATTAATGAGTAAATTACAACAAATATAATCTTTAGGATAGAATATACATATATAGTACCTGTACTTATAAGTACCATCGTAATTATTTTCGTTCTCGGATGATATAATTACGGCGCTGTTTGGAGGTTGCTGGCTCTGAACAATCGCCAATCCCAAAATCAAAAGGAACCAACTCTGAAACAGACAGAATCATTTATATATTTAGGGAATAATTTAAACGTTTTTTGGTAGCTCAGTTGATGACAGAATAAAGGGCGATTCAAATCAAATATCATTTCCTTGAACCAGAGAAATTTTTCCACAATAAATTAAATCAGAAGTGAATTGTGAATTCTTAAAAAGGGGATAAATGAACATTAATAGAAATTTGGTGATATAGTTGAAGTTCATCCCTAACTTGTCAACACCTGTGATTATTTATTCTATATGTGAGTGTGTGAATCTTGGAATTTCTGGTGCAGAGTGGTTATCCTACAAGTAAATTAATTCCTATTGTAAGGATACCACTGATGAACTCTTTTCGTCATTCTTTTTTCCTATTATTTCTCAGGAATGTGCTGTATTTATCAAAACTTAAACAGCTTTAAAACGAATAATTTAGTCATGGTTTCCCTACACCATTGGAACCATTTTAGCGTTACAGGCTATGGAGAAAACATAAAAGGTTTTGCCTATTGAACAGCAGCTACTGCTAAACTAAGGGTGATCCATTCTGTTCACTTGAATCGATTTCCAAAACTGGAAAAAAAAAATTGACCCGATTGCAATACTTTCCTTACCTAGTATAGGTAGGAAAGTACTAAATTAAAACATGTGAAGAAAACAGAATACGCTGTATCATCGCTAATACTGGTTCGATTCCGATGATTTTTTTTTGTATTGTTGGTAATTTAATTACCTTTCAAAACTTTTATTATAAATTTAAAGTTATGCTCCATAACATTTTTCTTTTATTTTTTTTTCTGAATTTTCTCGGGAATTCAGTCCATATACGAAAATTGAAAGGAGAATTATTAGAACATTATAAGAAAGTTTCATCAAAATCGGGAGAGCCGTTTTCGCTCTACAGTCTATAGGAAAACATGTTTTTCATTTATTGCACTCAAGCTATTGCGCATGGAGCACCGACTTTCTGCCACAGGCATCAGTATTCAAAACCCTACAAAATATAAAAAGAAGTAACAAAATCGGTTCAGTAGTTCCCGAGAAAATCTTGGCACAGACAGACCAATGGCTAAAAATGTGTTTTTCGGACTAAGGAGGCTCTGAAACGTATAGATCCGTTGAAACCGCATATCGGAAATTTGACCCGATCGCAATACTTTCCTTATCTATTATAGGTAGGGAAGTAAAAATAGAGGTCCTCTCGTTTGACGGATAATTTAGACACTAAAACACAGATAGATTAATGACCAAAAATGCGAATTTTGGTTTCAGCGGACTTAGAAACATATAATATATAAAAACAGTTTAGCCGGATTTGGCGGCCAACCTTATTAACAGGACTCAAGATCATATGGATCACACTCATCTGTGGCTACCGCTATTGCCGAACTTGTATTAAATCGTATTTATGGAACGTATAGTATAGTCGATGTGATTTTGTAGTCCGTCGTGAATTCATCTGATGTATCTTCCATAAATACTAAAAATATTATATCGGAAATTTGACTTTATTGAAATATTTCACCTTAGAAGTAGTGGTACGGAAAAAAACATGAATAAAAGTGGAGTATTTATTGAAATAATTATAAATACATTTTAAAAAAATCTTTTTTCCATTTTAAATCTTAACTATCAATATCTTAACAAAGTATAACCATTGATGATTTGCTCAATCATCGTTATTCCGAAATACTGGTGTAGACATGATGCAACATTTCTTAGACAGCCAGAACCGCATCGAGCTTTATCATGGCTGGTTTCATCATGGCTGTGCTCTCTTGACACCGTCGCTGTAACACAATTTATTACATATGCCTGCATAATGTAAGTGATTATTGTATTAATGTGAGTGAGCATTAAGTTTTATTGTATTGTTAAGGAACGTATATTTATTCTCTATTGACTGTTTGTTTCAAAGAATAAAATTCATAATTTACATTTCAATTGGAAAACGTTATATTCTAATCACAGTGGAAATCTAAAAAACAAAACAAGAATTTCTTTATAAAACTTTTAAATTAGATCATTAATAAATAAATATTTTGAAAACCTCTCCATAACAAAGTAACTCCTTGATTAATTTGAACGTAATTTGAAATCAATTTACTGTTGAATTTAATTTTGAAACTCTCTTTAATAAATTGGATGTGCTTTATACTGTAACCGATCCTAATTGAAGAAATTACTGCATCTGTTCAAGATTGCAAAAGTATGCATTTTTATTAAGGTTCTTAGTGATGCTTGGTATGTTTGACATTGTAGTTCGCTACATCACTAATAAATATCTGTTGCAGTGAAATAACATAGCTACTTGTCATACATTCCTTTCTCTGCATATGTAATACTTTATTTGTAAATATCAATTATTTTATAATATCCTATAAAATAATTAATATAAAATTTAGCCAGGGCAATAGCACTTACATAAGAATATCAAAACCAAATCGTTTCTACTGATGTGAAAACAAGAACCCTTAATGCTTTTTGTTTAATAACGCTCTTTAAACCAAGAGGTGCTATTACATGGAACTAATTGCAACATAGTGGATCAAACGATAAGTCAAACTGATACCCTGATCCACGAAAAATATAGACATGGAACTCAGGCGATAAGAACAGAGCCAAACAGCTTAAACTAAAATTGATTATATTTATAATCAATTCTACATATTTATAATTTTATCACAAATTGATTTACTTGGACATCCTAACGATGCGGTTCCTAATCATTCCAAAAAACCTGGACAGCTGAAAAAAGTTGGTTAGCTATTATGTTGTATAAACAGTAAAAAAGTTAACATAATTGATAAACAAAGCTTTATTAGCCTTACATAAACATCACGTAATTAGATTATCAAAATCATCATCAGGTTCATCAAATTTTGATTCCAATATGGAAGGTATTAAATCTGTTAGATTAAAAAAAAATTCTTGCGAGAGTTAAAAGAAAATTAAATGAATTAAATGAAAAAAATATTAACTGAAATATGTATAAATATTGAGCAACTATTTTTATTTTGACAGAGGTTATTAAGTAAGAAATTATTAATTCGCTAATTTCGATAAAACTGGAGATGAAAATTATCAGCTGAACATACGGAATATAACTTCAGTCGATGGCTAGATTGAAACAGGAGAAGTACATTATTGCTGAAATATAACATAATATTGCTCATATAATAATGGCCTACGCCTACTTCGAAGATAATTATTTTGTGATATGAAAAAAATATACTTGAATATGGAAAAAAAAATCCAAACGACTTTGTTCAATGGGCCTCTATAAGCTGAGGGGAATGGAAGAGTATATTATTCCGGAGTTCTTATTCCGAATTTAGATAATTATATCGAATTTTCATTCATTCGCTTTTTTTACTCATACGCTTACTTTTCAATGTGAATTTGTAAATGTAAAGAATACATATAAACGAAAAATTCTCTATGGTCAAATATATATAAAAAATATATAGCGTATTAAGAAAATTAGGGTAACTATGAGATAAGGACAGGAGTCGGGCAGTATCAGAGCTTTCCTGGTATGTAAACAAAGCTCTAAAGTGTATATAAGAAGGATTACTTCACAAATAAAGCAGTATTGTTTCTGAAGCCGTGTGAGTCATTTAACAGCCCCTTTTCTCCTTTTTTTTTATCTTTTGATTTCAAAGTCACATAAGTGGTGCCGAAACCCGGGAATATTGTTATTGCCCAGTAAGTAGGAAACTATTTTTTCTTTTTTTTTCTCTCTTACTTGCTCAAACAGGAAAATAGAAGCAGAATGGCGACAGACGGAATCCCTAACCCGGGAATATCAATTGCACCTGAAGTTCATCAGGCTCCGGAAATTCCGCAGATTCCGGAAATCCCTCCGGTACCAAGGGACACATTGGCGGAAGCACACGCCAATGCCTTGGAGTGGATGAAAGTAAGAGCAGCGACCACTCAGGATCTAAGGAGAGCTATAGCGGACTTGGAACGCTTCGGTGGAGAGATAGGCGAGCTGAACCATTTTCTGAAAGGTGGGGACCGTCTCATTTCTAGAATCGAGGCAAAGGTGGCGGAAGATTTGGTGAACCTGGGAGATGCTGAAGCATTGAAAGCAGCCTTGGTATGTAGAGTACGGAGGAGTGTTCTTAACCAGATACAGGCAGACGAAGACACAGCATGGCCGGTGATCAAACAGAGGTTGAAGAAGGCTTTTGGGGGAGGCCGATGGACTCCAGAGGAGGACATCTTCCAGATGTTCAGGGAACGACGGTCGCAACGACAAACAAACGGGCAGTATGCGGGAGTACTATTGGCGAAGTTTAATCACATCACGGAGAAGATGCGCGAAATGATGAGTGCAGGAGAAGTAGAGGCCAGGATGGAGTTTTTGTCAACTATCCTCAAGGTTCAACTGGCCAAGGAGACGGGAAAGAGGGACGGCTTACCAAGAGAGCGGTCGTTCCTGGAGTGTGCCCAGGAGATGGTCGACTTTAGCGCGAGGGAGGAAGAAAGTAGAATGGAGATAGAGGAAGCTGGATGGAACCGTGTGAGCGAGAGACGCTTCAGGTCCGCACCGATAGGGTGGAAGAAAAGGGAGTCTGGATACGGAAACAGAGGAAGGACCACAACAGGGGAAAGAAAACCAGGACCACCCAGGCCACGAAATGGACCCCGTAAGGAAGAAAGGAAGTGTCATGGCTGCGGCAGGACGGGACATCTAGTGGCACAATGCCCCCGTACCAAATGTTTCGAATGCGGAACAGAAGGACACATTGCGCGGCAATGCCCGTACATGTTTAGAAGGAGGGAGACGGCACAAGATGAGCCGATGGAGGTCAATATGCATAAGGTGAGGAGGAACCCTAATATGACTCGACGAAGCGGGCCTTCGGAAGAGGTAACGGAGATATCAGAGGCCTCGGAGACGGAAGAAGAGGAACCAGGGAGCAGCGGAGACGAAGGAGGAAGGAGCACGCAGTGGAGCGGACAAAGACGAGCGGCATCGAGGAGGAGCAAGCAGGCAAAGATCTGAGGAGTGGGTCTTCAGAGCGGCGACCGCACAGCGACCTGCAATAACATAAGAGGTAAGTCCTGCTGGTTGCCAATCATCACGATAAAAGGGGGAGTGAGGTGCTTGGTAGACACGGGAAGTACTTGCACTATTATGACCCGTGGGGCACTAGAGAGGCTGTGTGGTAGGGAGAGCGCACCCCGGATTCAGGGATGCGAGTGTAAATTAATTACCCTAGGAGGGGCGTGTAAGGTGGAAGGAGAAGCGGTCGTTGAGTTAAACCATTGGGCAGGTAGAAAGGGGAGTTTGAAAGTGCACATTGTGGGAAACATAACTCGGGAATACCAGGCGATAATAGGGTGCGACCTATTCGGACAAGTAGGGATTAGAGTCGAGTACAGGAATGGGACTTGGAAGATCAAGTTAGGAGGACAGAGGTACAGGAGTACGGAGAGCATAAGGGGTACGAAAGCGCGGATAGGAGCGGTAAATCGAGTCGAGGATTGGAGGAAGGCCATAAGAGTAGAATACGAGGATATCTTCTTCAAGGAGGGAGAGATACTAGGTGTAACGGGAAGGACAGTCCACGAAATACCACTAAAGCAGGAGCGGGTGTCATACGTGAAGGAGAGGCGATATCCACAAGCACTTAGACAGCATATTCGGGAAGAATTAGAGAATTTAAAAAAGCAGGGTATAATAGTCAACAGCACCTCTCCATACAACAGTCCGTTGTGGGCGGTGAGGAAAAAGGGAGTGCCGGGCGAGACAGAAGAGAAGTACCGAGTGGTAATAGATTATCGGAAGCTAAATGAGAACACGATAGACGAAAAATACCCGATCCCGAGATTCGAGGACATATTGGACAGGCTGAGTGGGGCGGTGATATTTAGTACTCTGGACCTCAAAGCTGGTTATCACCAAATAAAGATGCACCCGAAGGATCAGCATAAAACAGCATTCACATTCGAAAGGGGGCATTACGAGTTCACCCGGATGCCGTTTGGACTAAAGAATGCTCCGATAACCTTTCAGCGCTTAATGGACGAATTCTTGAGAGGGTTGGATGAAACCGTATGCCAGGTCTATATGGACGACTTGTTGGTATTTAGCAAGACGGAAGGGGATCACGTGGAACACCTGCGAAACGTATTCGAGAGGTTGCGCTGTTTTGGTCTAAAATTATCCAGAGAGAAATCCCTATTAGGACAAGAGCGGATTAATTTTTTAGGCCACACAATTTCGAAGGACGGGGTTAGGCCGGACGCGGAGAAGGTAGAGGCTATTAGGCGAATGGCGGTTCCGCGAGATGTTAAAGGAATCAGGAGGCTCCTTGGAACGCTTAATTATTATAGGAGGTTTGTGCCGGAAATGGCAGAGTACCTGGTCCCGATCAATAATCTGCTGAAAAAGGGGGCTAAGATGATCGTGACACCAGTAATGGAACAGAACATTAGGAAGTGTATGGACCGTTTACAAACAGAACCGGTATTAGCGTTTCCGGACTTCAGTAAGCAGTTCACGATCACCACGGATGCCAGCGAGTACGCGCTGGGAGCAGTACTGTCGCATGATGGAGTAGGTGGAGAGCAGCCCATAGCATACGCGAGTAGACGCCTTACCGAGGCTGAGACGAGATATAGCGCTTTGGAGAGGGAATTGCTCGCGATAGTGTGGGCTATTGATCATTTTCGGCCTTACGTATTCGGAAGAAAGTTCAGAGTCCGCACCGATCACAGGCCCCTTCAATGGGTTGGGAAATTAAAAGAATCCTCTGCAAGAGTCGCGCGATGGAAGGAATTTCTCGGCCAATATAATATTGAAATAGTGTATAAGCCAGGAAGGGAGAATGTGGTGGCCGATTGGCTGTCGAGAGCCATAGTAGTGAATGCAATCGAGGAAGACAGTGGTGGACCATCGCGTGATGTTCGACAGTTCCTGAGTGAATGGACACCGGAAAGGGAAGGGGAGGACGGTACGAGAGATGGACGGCAGGAAGAGGAGTCCCCCGAAGAGGAGAGCTCGGCGGAGGAGAGGCCAGCAGAGATAGAAGAAATTGATGAGATCATCAACGATAAGCGTCACCAGGTCATCTGGAAGACTAGGACGGCGGGTATGATGAAAATCGACTACAGCCGCTACGGTAGAAGTAAGGTTCACACGGTCTGGTCGCAACCAGGGGTGCGTGAGGATCAGATCTGCAGGGCGCTGAAGGATGCATCGGAGCCAGGGAAGACAAATCATCTCTATGTGGGAAACGCCACAATATGGGAAAAGATTAAGAGGATGTGGAGGTCCGAAAAAATCGGAATAGATAGAATATTTGTCCGATGCAGATATATGGTGGAGACGATAACGGACGAGGAACGGCAAAAGGAGGTGACTCTTGCATATCACCAGGGGAAGACGAACCATAGGGGAGTGAACGAAACCTTACAGGCACTGCGCAGGAAATACTTTTGGTGGGGAATGAGGAAGACCATACAAGAAACAATTGGAACATGTGAGGTGTGTATGCGCACGAAGTACGACAGACACCCGCCTCAGGGAAGACAGGAAGAGACACCCACGGGAGACGCACCATTGCAAGATCTCCAGATCGACACTTTCACATGGAGAGGGTATAAGTGGGTAACCATGATCGATACTTTTAGCAAACTTGCTATGGCATACCGGATATTGGAGAGGTCGTCCGATGCAGTTTTGGAAGCCATCCAAACATGGATGCAATTTTATGGGGTACCGGAGAGAGTCTCCTCGGATGGAGGAAGAGAATTTGATAATAGCGCAATGAGGGAGGAGGCAAAACGCTTAGAGATAAACTGGCATTTCAATACACCAGGGCACCCCAAGAGCAGAGGTAGCATCGAGCGGCTACATAGTACCTTGAGCGACCATATACGCGTGTATCAGGGAGAAAAAGGATTGGAGCCCGACATTGCGATGAAAAAGGCGATAATAGCGTATAATCATTCAATCCATTCCGTAACTGGGTTCTCACCCTTCGAGGTACTGTTTGGGATGCGGGAACGAAGACGGGATTGCGCGGAAACGGCGATTGACGACCACGTGGCCGAACAAATAGGTAATAATAGGTTGGAGTTAAAGAAGACGTGGGCTACGGTACGAAGGAGAATAGAAAGGGAAAAGACGAAGAGGGTAGATAGAGAGAATCTAAGATTACGCGACCAAATGGGGGATTTGAAAATCGGGACTATTGTGTACCGGAGAAGGGGAACGAATCGAGGGAAGGAATTGACGCGATATGAGGGCCCATTCAGGGTGGTTGCCATCAGGGAACATAATTTGGTGACGATAGAGAGTATGAAGGAGCCTAAAAAGAGACGCACAGTCCATATCGAGCAATTGAAACTCCCGTTTGTAGGGGCAGAAAAAGAATAAATGAACCGTGGTGCCCTCTTTCCTCCACACAGAAAAGTTTTTTTTGGCTTTTGTGTTTCAGTGTAAAAAGAGTTGTATATAGGAAAAAGTGCTGTGTTTTTTTTTAATTCCATTGTATGTTTTTGCGTTATTGTATATTTTGCGTTGTAGTTTTAAGCGAAAAGAAGTGTATTTGTTTTATTCAGCTATTATTATGATATTTTGTATTTTTTGCTATTATTATGATATTTTGTATTTTTTTTTATATATTATTATTGTATTGAGCGTACAGGAAACAAGGTGGTGAGGCTGATACAGTTCACTTCACTCGAGAATTAAAAGTTTTCGAAAGGCTTTTCGTAAACTGGTGGGGGGGAGATAAGGACAGGAGTCGGGCAGTATCAGCCTTAATACCTTCCTGGTATGTAAACAAAGCTCTAAAGTGTATATAAGAAGGATTACTTCACAAATAAAGCAGTATTGTTTCTGAAGCCGTGTGAGTCATTTAACAGCCCCTTTTCTCCTTTTTTTTTATCTTTTGATTTCAAAGTCACATAAGTTATGCAAGGTAACAAAATACAAAAATTATGGATATCATACAGAACAATATTTAGAAAGTAGGACATTGCTGAAAATGGAGCAGAACCTTGAATATGTAGGAGAAAAATATGATTAATTAAGGGATTAATTCCAGGAGAAATATATTGTTATGCATACTTTCAAAAACTACTTTAAAAATCCTTTCTATATAGTACGATTTATCAAACTTTTTTTTCTTAACTCTTTAGGTCCATTGGAACGAACGTGAATAATATTTTAGATGTATTATCACTAAACAAAATTTGGTTTGAATCGGTGACCCACAGCCTGTAACCTACTATAGTTAGTGCTGCTTGAGTTCGCTCTTGTACTGCCAAGTAATTGTGGACGAGCTATACATTACTTATTAAAAAAACAAAGTTATTTGATTAAAAAAGCATTTATATGTAATTACATTTATATTTTCCAGTGAATAAGGTCATACAACGCAAGGTTCAGTTAGGATTCAATTCATATTAAACTTTTATTTTTAAAAAAAGCGGGTGAGTATTCAAGGTATCGCCAAAAACAAAAACTTACGAGTATCATCGTTGCAATCCACAGGCCTGAAGGCTAAACTGTAGGGTCCTGTGGTAACCACTTAGCTATTATATAAGTATTTGCCCCTCCACGATCTCCCTCCTCTATTCACAATATTCTTAGTCAATGGAATCGTAATTGTAACCATTGAATAAGTAAACTTTTGTGTTTATGTTTTCTAAATTCAAATAAAATATTTTTTTACTTTCAGTTACCTATATATTTCACACATAGTAAGGAAAACTATTGATGTGAAAAATTTATAACCATAGTTTTTAACGTAAATACATTTTTTTAAAGCCTTGTGAGTCCTAATAACCCAAACTATCAAAATCGTCGATATAACTTTAATCGTTGTTTAAGTACTATTTTACGAACCTAAGATTTATATATCAGACTGCAAAATCATTTAATTTAAAGAAAATTTCATAAATTAAATACCGAATTGTTTGTTTCGTAAATTTAAGAAAGCTTGATATTAGCTTACGTTGAGGAACTAAAATAAATTACAGAACGCTCTTTGTTAACAATGAAACTAAAACTGAATGAAGATCTAGACAAATAGACATGAATTTGAAAAAAAAAATATGAAAGAGGACTTAAAATATAGTCTTTAAGTGCGTTACTTGATTTAGTCATATTTGGAAATGTCGACAACTTGAGGAAGAATCCTTGATGCAACGGGAAAAAAAGTTTAATGTAAAAAGTATATTCTCAGGTAGAATATAATGATATTACTAGCTTATATTTTCAATAATATGAATATCTATTATATCGGTTTGAATCATTTTCTTCGCCAGTGTCCATTGCCAAATATACAGGTATTGATGATATACGCTGATGATGTCCACCTGGTAGCCAGAACATTGCCGGCGCTTGAAGGAGCATTGGATTAGTTGGAGCGAGAGGCAAATAGAAAAGGTCTCAAGATCAGTGAGAAGAAGATGGAATACATGAAGTTCACCCAGAAACCCCCACAGATGTTACCACGATTAATATTAATGGTCATAACTTCGTAGATTGTTGGGCTATTAAATATCTATTAATTATCTAACACTAGAATGAACTTCGCAAGGAGATAGTGGCCAGAATAGCAAAAGAGAATCGTTGGCTTTTTACAGTACACAAAGTTTTGAAGTTCAAAGATCTTTCTTGGAGCGCCAATGTAATGGTGTACAAGACAATGATTCGCCCAACAGTCATCAATGGCGTGCAATCTGTGATAATGTAGTATCTTCTTTAACTTTAATTTCATCATCAAACTTTTTTGAAGTCTTTTTCGCCATCGTCTGATTTGATAGTATAGTAAAATTAAATTGGATTATCTTTTATTCCTTATTCTAGCCAGGTGTCCATCACACCTTTATTAAGACATTGATTTCATTTTCAAACTGATTTATTATGTTCACTTCTTCATTCGTTGTTTTTTTTTTCTTACATCAGATACCTCAACTGTTAGTGCAAAACGTCTTATCCAAAATTTGAATGTTTTACAAGAGAGCATTAAAAACTAATCATTTATTTATGTTCTATTAGTACAATGTCATATTACCAATTGTTTAGGGTGCCTCTCAACCTGACACAGACAAGGATCCGGCTCGCGAAATCTATTTCCACGAAGCTCTTTTCTCACCATATGACATCAAATCAAAATAGCTTCTGCTTCGTAATAAATCTTTTCCTCTGTGAACCTGACAGCTCTCCATCCTCAGCCTCACTTGATGATCTAAACTCACATTTTATATATGTCGATAATAATACCTCTTCTCTGCTCTCTTCTTCCGGCTTTTCTTCAGAGATACCATTTAACGGCAATAACTTTCATTTTCCCGACCTTTTTCCCACAGATCATTCAAACGGTGTAATGAAATCCCTCACCAATTCCATTGGACCAGATGGTATCCCTTTCAAATTAAAAAGATTATGTCTTCCTAAAATCCTTTCAGTTCTCCTTTTCATACACAATTTCTTTCTGCAGAATTCAATATCCTCTACCTCATAGAAACTAGATATTGTCCTTCGTTTAAATAAAAAGTCTAATCCATCCTTTTCCGAAAATTTTCACCCAATCTTTCAAAATCGTTAGAATGGTTAGTGAAATACCAAGTTTCTGACCTCCTTGAAAAATCCAACCAACACGCTTCTCTCGATTCTAGGTTAACGGACTGAAGCTAAATGCTGCTAAAACCCGGGCAATTTCTACCCTCAAACTATTCCTTCGCTTTCGCCATCTCCTACCTCAACATACTCGTAGACTCCTAGTTTCCTCTATCATCTTTCCCCGCTGAGTAACTACAGCTTCGTAAAATTCGTAATAGGATCCCCGAGGCATTCCCTTGTCTCTTACCACTATATTGAGCTAAGATTGCTGTTCCCTCCTTCCGAAGACAACATTTCATTAGCACATTCCTCTACAAAATCATTAACAATTATCGTTCTTCTTATGCCTGCAACTTATTCCAGTTCAATTTCCCTTACCACAAGATCTAGACCTCCTGACCTTTACATTCCTTCTGACAGAACTGTCATATTCCAAAACGTCTTTGTTGCCCGTCGTATTTATGAAACTTCTGTTCCAATTCGTGTCCCAAAAGTCAGATACCTACTGACCTTTCGACAATATAGATTATTTTATGTCATTTATAATCAAATGATATTAATGTTCTTTGCTTGAGATAATATAAGAATTTCCGACTCTCGAAGAAAAGTCAATTAATGAATTGTTGTTTATTAATAATATTTTTTAATCGCATATATAATCAAATTCTTACATATAGTTTCGTTAAAAAATGATCAACATCTTCTTATGATACACTTGTATATTACTATTTATTTGTACAGTATATTATTTGGATGTATTTTACATCTTAATTAGCATTTACATCCATCGGCATTTTATATGGACAGATACAGCTTTCCTTTTTTCTTAATGAAACCTCAGAACCAAGAAGAGTTTAATTTTCGTTTTATTTATTTTTTCTTGGAAGTATATAATTATACTATTTTGCCATTTTATAGAGTTTTAAGGGTTTCGTACATAGTTCTAAGTATTTTATTTATAGTTTTCTATATAGCATGTTCACATAATGTTTTCTTTACTTCTTTATATTATATTTATTTATTTATTGTTTCAAACTTAAAAAAGGCTAGAAGTAATCTATCAAATATCTTTCTATGCACAATTAAATAACTGCTGATTGGAATAATACATAATACATATTTTATAATAAATTTTCTTTCATACTATATTTTATTTTATTCATCAGACAATGGTTGTTTATTTTAACCTTTTATTTCGAAAACATCATGGACAAGGCTGTTACTAAAGGTCTTGCACCGTTACATGGAACATCTCCGACCATTGGGTCTTGGCGATTGGGAAATTCTTTCAGTAGAACCGGGTGAAGGATGCTCATTGCATTTTTTGGAAATTGAATACCGTAATCCTAGCAAACCACTGAAAATTAAGGTTTATGTTGTCTAAAAAATTTAAGAGTCATCATGTTTATAATTTATACAATTATTGAAGACAAGGCTAAAGCAAAATAATGTAAACTATTTAAAAAAAAAATAAGGAAAACTTATATGTAGGACTATTCATACTTTATAAAAATGAAAAAAATAAACTAAAAGTTGCATTAAAAATTATTCACTTTTTCAAGATCTTTAAAAGTTTTAACAGTTCAAACAGCTTGCAGTTACTTATTAGCTTGTTACTATAGAGATATTACTGTAATTTTTTAGATAAGAGAAACCTAACTAAGCCCGAATGAAAAATTAGAGGAGTTAAATGCAAAAGGATATCGGTTATACCAATTATTAACATATAGCAACTGATATTGTCAAGTATTAGTAACTATTTTGCCTTAATTTTTATTTTTTTAAATCTATTTTTTTTTTACCAGTCCTGATCTTGGTCTTGCAAAGTGCAAGACCAAGACCGATTTTGGGCAACACTAACTATGACTAGGTTTACAAGATGGAGCACCGTTATAAGCGAGTAAGTTTCGATTTTATATACATATTGTTGACTAGTTAATATTCGTTTTTAATGTTATTAATTGTTTTGTAAATTGGCTATTGTCAACTATTAAGTCCTCTGAAAGAATTTTGTAAAAAAAAATTTCAGATGAAAATTCACAATATTTTGTAAAATCAGATTTTATTCCTGAAGATGCCTGAAGATGCGAAAATTTGGATAAATTAAAAATATATCATTTTAATTATTGAGACTAAAAAATTCATTTCTTTCTATTTATTATTGACCAAATTTTCATTTGTATTTATTTTAGTAATAATAAGTCTTCTATTTAACTAATGATTATATTTTAAAGGTTTTTTAGTCAAATGTAATATCAGTTACAAAAGTTTGGCTATTTTAAAGTTCATATCTTATCCATTACAAATCTTGTACTAAATAATCTTCGGTGTCCGATTCACATTCCCTGCGCCATCACTACATACACTATTCAACTAACATGACCCGGGCAAATTATATGGAATTATTCTAAACCGACTATGAAGTCATTTGTTTCGTCCATTATTTCGTATTTATTATATTTGTGTGACACATATTTGAATTGAATTCATATCATAATTTAATGTGTTATATGCTGTTGATTATATTTATATCTATCATTATTAATATACTACACTTATATTTATATGTACTATTTATAGTACATATATACATATTTATATATGAGTCATTCTCCCATTACATACGAATGCCTGTCCCAAAGCGAATGCGGATTCTACATGAAATTTCTTGTAAATCGACTCTAACAAGTAATTTAAATGTGCTTTGATCTTAAATATAAACTAGTTTTACCATGGTTATTTATCTGTTTTCATGGTTAAATTTGAATACACAACGTCAAAATCTATTTCCCTCCTGTGTCCCATAGCACGAGTTGGTAATGTGAAGGCGAATCATTTCTCCATTTTTGCAATTATTAACTTACTTTTTTTTTCTATTACCTTTGATAAGTTGCAATATATATTGAATTTTAAAATGAATAGTGAGACTAATTGCTTACAATAATAACAATGACCTCTAATGCATTGGTCCCATAGGTTCAATCTATTTCCCTCACATTTTTTTTAAAAGACCGCCAAAGAACAACCATGATTCATTTCATTACATTATTTGGTTAGCAACACTCCAGCAGCGTTCCTCCAACTGAGGTTAACCTTATTTATAGGTAACTTCCACTGTTTGTTTTCCAAAGTTCGTATTAATATCAGTGTTTGAATCACGTCATTCAACATTCTATTTCCCTCATACACTGATTTTTCAAAGGAGGTAAGTTTGATTCTTGTTTTATTTTCAATGAAGTATATGTTTCTAAAGGGGTTCAGAGCTCAATTATATTATTGTTGTGAATTGCATGTTCATGGTTAACCTTAAATCAACCTCAAAATTCTATTTACCTCATGTCTATTTCCCTCACAACACCAAAAGTAAGTTAGATGTTGTGAGGGAAATAGAGCACAATACGATAAACCGTACTTTAAATATGATAAAACCAGACTTTTGAATAATATATTTTCAGAGTTTAATTGAAAAAAAAAACCTACAATGAGTCTCAGATTTGTGTATGAAAAAATTAATTCAACCTATGAGAGAATCTCTCCATAAGACATTTCTGGAATATCGTCATTGATTCCAAAGCTGCTTTCGCCGTTCAAAGGCACTATGCAGGTCTACCAGGTTGTATACCACCGAAATGGAAATTCTAGGAGGATTTTAAAAATGAACAAAGTAAGTTGTTTTGACTGCAACAGATTCCCCATCGGATTTCACGAGATAAATTCTGGTGTTGATATATCCAACACTTTTGAAGTAGATAAAGAAACATCTGCGCTTCATCCATGCTCGCTTCTTGAGACTAAGATGTGTGTACCTGAAGCTCCCATAGATACCCAACCTCAAGGTATATTAACCACTGAGGGAACATCAAGTGCTAATCATTATGGTCAACCAAAGGAGGGGAGTTCCATCATGGCACGATTTGATGGTAACAAAGAGTATCGTTACGTTTGCTGCTTGACAAGTGAGCGCAATAATGAAATAACTGCTCTTGTTCTACGTTCGTTTCAAAATTCAAAACGTGATTTTATTTTTAAAGAAAACGACCAATTCTTTCTTAGACCTTGTGATATTTTTATGGAATTACCAGCTCCAAAAGTAAAAATTCAAAACAGGAGAATCTTGCGAGTTTTTCCGTTTGACTTAGAAGTAGTGGAAAAAGAGTGAAATTTAAGTTACTACTATGATTTTATTTTGAAACTAATTATAGGCAATGCTAGTAAAAGCCTTTAATTAATATGAAATCACAGTGGTAACTTAAATTTCACTCCTTTTCGATTCGAAAAATTAAAGTTATATTATAATGTTTCACGATTACAAATATTTTTTTTTATATATTATTATTGTACTTGGTTTATGTTTACAATTTTATTCAGTGTTGAATAATATCTTTTAATTGATTGATTTGAAAATTAATATATTTTGTTAATTAAATGTTGAGATTTTTCTATTTCCCTCACACAATCTCTATTTCCCTCACTTTCATGGTTTCAATTATGATCCTAAATGTAGATGTAGACCACATTCTATGAAGGTATTTTTTGTTAGTACCATTAGTGAACTATTATTAAGTTGTTTATGAAAAAAAAACTTTTTTTTACATTACTTTTTTCCAATAGAATCTCAGTTTCGAAATTCCAAAAAAAATGCGAGAATGGCCCATATACTATATATTACTAATCTTCATTTGTTAACTTGCTATGTTTTACTGTATTATATTATTATTATATTGTATATTGTATCATATGGTAATGCAGGCAGAAGAGGATGTTGTCATTGTAAAACAATGTATTATTTTACATAACTTGTAGCATTTCTTATGTTAACTTTTTATGATCACTGTTCAATAATGTGGCACACTTTATTTGTATGGGGCATTCCCCGAAAACAAATAAAATTATTCATTTATTCGTTCAATAAATAATTTATATCTACATTATATATATTTTTATTTTTAATAATACAAGATTTAAAATTCAAAAAATTTAATACAAGATCTAACTACAAAAACTGGTTGAGAGTGGGTTATAAAATGGAGTGTATATTAGATAGTTTCCATATATAAGGCATTCTTTGAACACACAATTTGATTGTTGGCAAATTTTCTTTTTAAAGGGATTTTAGTTAGAAAGTTTATTCAATTGAGTTATTGCTAAGACGTTTAAAAATAACTCCGTTGAATTAATTGGCAAAGTTGGAAAAATTGTCAGTTTCAACTTACTTATTGCAGTAATTCAATAATCTCGAATAAAATTTCAATTGCTTAAATTGTATTAATAAAAAAGACTTCATAAGGAGGTATCAGAGTTATAAATTATAAATTGGAAAAGATCAGAAAATTTCTGTAATGCAAGTTCGTTTCGAAGGATGATGCAAAACTTTCACATTTCTAATTGACTTCAAATAAAACGATCAAAACTACAAAGTACCACCAACGGTTTTTTTATCACAAAGGGTCTACTTTTATGGCCTAAGTTGTCCGTATGGATACAGCTGTTTAGGCAGAGTATGAATAGGGGCGTAACAGAAAATGTCTGTATATTCCTTACGGACAGGTATAATAAGAAAAATGATTTTGAATAGTTTTGTATTATGTTTGTTTTTTTTCTAATAAAGAGAAAGTATTAGAAAATTTTAATGCTTGCAGTTTTTAATATTATAATAACAATAATGCAATTAATCGCACTTTGAGACGAATTAGAAAAAATCCTGCATGATCATAGGTAATGACGTTTTTCCAATTTTTCTGTACCACCAATTATCAGTGGTGTTCCAATCCTTTAAGAGGTTTATACTTTAAAATATTTACAAAACTGTAATTGACAAATCTGACTTTGGTACAAGTTGTGTACTAGTGACTTGTTTGAGTGACTTTACTTGGTTATGACAACTATAGAGAATTTTTAAAATGAAAACTTTAGTCACGTTTCGCACATTTTGTGGAGAGTGAATTAGATTGAGCCGTCAGATCTTCGATGTGTAACTTTCTAGTGAAGTCGGCTGGAGTCGACTAATTGTTGTGTATTTGCATATGGCTTAAAATATCTCAGAAACTAAAATCTGACCTGCATATTGTGAGTGAGGGAATTGTTCAGCATTTCGAATCCTCTATGTAGTGAGCTATTATTCAAAATTGTATCTTAAAGCGACGCAGTATTAGAGAGGCGATAAAAATCATAATGAGTTTTATATATGGATTAAAATATCTCACAAACAAATAATCGGGCCTACATAATATAAGCGAGGAAAATGTTCAGCATTTCATCTTCTTTATAATGAGTTATTATTCAGAATTTATATTTCATTTTATTTATTTATAATTTATATTCATATTATTAATCTCGCCTTTTTGATGCTTTCACTTGTATCGTGTGGTCTAAAGCACACACCTCTGTTTTTTTTGGATTAGTATTTCCATGTTTTTCAGTAATATATTTTCATCTATACCACTGAACGTTTTCTAGGGGAGCATGTTCTATGGAATTGAAACATACTACGTTTTCTTTCTCTCATCATCGTAAACGTAATTAGTCTTCCCGAATTCAAATTCTACTCCGTAGTAAAAAAGTAAAATAATTTTAAGAGAAATATTTAGTGTTTAAGCCAGCATTGGTCACGATTAGGTGTCATAAGGCTTATCATTTGTATATTTACAAAATATTGGCAGTTCAAAGGATTTTAAAAATATATTAAATCAAAACATTACAAATATTTATTCAAAGAAAAAAAATAATCCAAGATAATTTATTAATTTCAGGAGAAGTGTAAAAAAAATCCTGGTAAATGTTTTTATTATATGTATTGTTTATGTAATACCTGCATATATTTATGTGTATTTATTGATTAAGATTTCATTACTTATCAATTCTTATCACATAATTCACAGTAAAAAAATCATGCTTAGTTTACATAGATTACATTAATTTAATATATATACTTCGTTTTTCCTTCTTCATATAAACAAAAATAATAAAGGACCTGAATTCATTTATTGGATTAAATGATGAACTTTAAACTTCAGCCCCTAAAAAATTCAGGTGCAGATTCAGCTACAGGTATTGCATCACTAAAGGGTATCATTCCTGGTCGTTGCTTGTTTATTCTTTCGGCGTGGAAGCCGGTCTCGTCCGCGTACCAGTTGACGGTGATGACCTGGCCATCAGGAGCTGTGTAAGAGTAGCTTCCTCGGGCAGTCTGCGCTTCTCCTTCGGTTCCTGGATTCTTCAACGAGCCTTCCTCTTCAACTGTGATCCCATTACTTGTCTGGTATCTGTATAAATGACATGGCGACATATCAAATATTATATTGGTCCGTACCTAATCTCAGCCTAGGTAGGCCATGGACCAAAGTCCAGATTAGGTTAGACACGATTTGATCAAAATTGTAATGTTTATGCACAATCTCAAAAAGAAATTATACTAAGTACATAACATGACATTTTTACTCATGAATAAATAAATAAAGAAATTACATTGGACATAATTTAAACGATAAGAAAAATGTAGTACCTGTACTTATAAGTACCATCGTAATTATTTTCGCTCTCGGAGGATAGGATCACGTCATTGTTTGTAGGTTGCTGAATCTGGCTCTGAGCAAGCGCCAGTCCCAAAATTATAATAAACCAATTCTGTAACAATTTGTACCATTTATGTAATAATTAAAAGTATGAATGTGTTTTTTATTTTATATTTTTATTTAATGTTATCTGAAGTTTCATTTCTTTTGTTAGTTCAAGTTGGCCTGTACACGATTTCGTTTGGAATAAAGTTATATTACATTAATAGAAAATTTCAGTCTCAATAAATAATTATTTTATTTCAAATTTATCCACATTTTTACCTCTTCAGGCATTTTCAGCGATAATCTGATTTTACATGTAATTTAAATTTTCATCTGACAAAAACATATACAACAATCTGTCGAGGATTTACTATTAATTGACTATTGATACTATTATTTTGTTTTGATACTATTGATTTACTAAAACCATAATAACCTTAAAAACAATAACCGGTCAACAATATATGTATATATATATATATATATATATATATATATATATATATATCAAAATATAACAACTTACGGGCTAATAGCAGTGCACCCACTTGGTTAAAGAACACAACCGAATGAGACCAATCCTTCAAGGAGGAGATACTTTGCCAACATTAGAATATTTAAACACTAGTTGACTAAAATTGAAACTAGAATATATTATTATTTTAATATAAATTATTTTAATCTATCAATTATCGAACATCATTTTAAATATATATTAACATTTAAACACATGTTAACATCACACACACACACACACACAAACACACACACACACACACACACACACACACACACACACACACACACACATACACACACACACACATATATATATATTAATTTATTTATATATACATATACATGTATATATTGATATACACACACATTACACTTATATTAGATTTACCCCCCAAAAAAATATCAACTATTCAACGTATTACTGAACAAAATAGGAAAAAATATTCAAAATAACTTACAAGTATCATCTTTTCAATCCACAGGCCTGAAGGCTAATATCCTGTGGTAACTTGTTACCAACTATATAAGTATTTGCCCCTCTACCATCTCCCTTCTCTATCCACGCTCCATCTATTCCATTTTTTGGCAAAGGAATGGTAATTTGTTTTGTTGAAGCTATTTTATTGAGTGATTAAAAATTTCATCACCATAAGGACAATAGTTATGGTAAGAAAAGGATTAATTCACACTTATAAATATTCACACTTATAAAGAAGAATATAAATATTTAAATAAAATAAAAGCAAAATAATAACTAAATATTAATGTGTGTGTGTGTATGAATTAATATTTAGTGATTATTTTGCTTTTATTTGATCTAATTATTTAATATATATATAAGCTTTGATTTGTAGGATGCGGAGAGAGAAGTGAAAATCTTACTGGACTTTTAAAAACGGTTGGATTCTACAATAGAATATGAAAAGTATGAGTGAGTTAGAGGATTGCCAATGACCCTAGGGGGTAGATGCAAAGAAACAAACAAATAAATAAATATATAAACTTATTTAATTTAATTTAATTATATATATATATATATATATATATATATATATATATATATATATATATATTATATATATATATATATATATATATATATATATATATATATATATATATATGTTTACGTATTTATATTTATATATTTATATTTATATATGTATAATATAAATATAATAATATCTAAGCATGTCCGTGTTCAAGATGTTAATTCACTTTACTCACCTTAAAGTGTATGCAAGTGTTTTAAAGGTGAGTGAAGTGAATTAACATCTTGAACACGGGAAAGTCAGTGTGAACTAGGAATATATAATAATTAAAATCCTTAATTCTACTAAAGAATATTAATTCCAAGCATATTTATCTTAGTCTAGGAAAATTAAGTTTTTGAATCATAAGATACTTATTTTAAGACTAAAATTTAAAAAGATAAAAAATGTGTAAATGTTTGTCCACCCTATCTCGCCTTTTAGGCTATACGGGGATTTTATATGACCATGGGAGAGGGCGGGGGATTAATGCCAGAATGGAACGCGGTATCAATATGGTTATCATTTTGTTCCTGTAAATTTCAGTTTATGAATCAACCGTTTGCCTGGCAAGTTCACCGGCAACGGTGAGTTTTAAGGTCTAGTAAATTAACTCGGCCAGCATGTGTGTGTCTGTTTTAATGGGAATATCAAAAAGCTCTGATATGGAAAGACTGTAATTATAAATTTCAAGGAGGTGAATGACTAGGACATTACATAATTTTTTTTCGCTTAACAAAGGGAAACGATTAATTAAGTAATTGTCTGAAAGTAAATCATATTACCGATTTTACAAATTTATTCTAAAAAACGCCACTAATGTTGACTAAATTTAATGTAAAATTATATGTCCTTTAATATAAGTTGTGTCTGAAGAATTTATGATATTACATGCATGATATACCATTGGAAAGACAAATACCTAAGAAAAATTAATTTTTAGCATACAAAGTAGTAACATGTAATCCAGAGTGATGAAAAAATAATGATTTATGACTGATGTAATTTTTTTTTTTTTAATCTTATTTATTGAAAAATATTACAATCTGTCTCAAGGACATTTATAATAGTGTACGATGTAATTAATAATGTATTCTTGAATCGGAAATACATTTCTTTGTGGGGATCCAAATGAAATTTACATGAAAAATTCAAAAGTCGTTTTAGTTTGACAAAGCAAAAACATACACTGACAGGCAAAAAATTCCACCCACTTGATTTTTCCATGTTTTCATCTAAAAATATTTCTGTAAAGTTGTATTTGTGTATAAGACATGGTATTTGTAGATAATACTTAGTATTTATGGAATTTTATAATCTTTTTTACCTTTAATAATCAAAATGGGATTGGGAAAGAAAGATTAGAGAAAAAAAAATTGAAAAAAAGAACCATTATTATTCCCTTTTTTTTTCTTTTTTTTATTTAGACATATAATATTCTGTCACGGGGACAATAATTATATTGATAAATGAACACATTCACACCGTATAAAAAAATAAAATTAAATTAACAAAAGTAAAATAATAACTAAATAATAATAAATAAAAAGTATAAACAATAAAAAAATAAAATAACCTAAATATAAGTAAATTAAAAACATAAAAATACAGTCATACCTATATACAATATATAAAATCAGGCAGGGAATCCAAATCCCTGCGCTACTCTCTCAACCGCCTCACCGGTGTTAAAGCCGGTGGAGTTTGAGCGAGAGCGCTTTAGCCACATACACTCATGTCTTGAGTGGAGAATCTGGTCATTGCCAGAACTCCAAAATAAATACAATAAAAGATCTATGTGCCACTGCCGCTTCAACCTTCGAGGAGGGTTGTAGCGATGAGTAGAACTAGATAGGGATTGGGCTAGGGGATTTGGATGATTGATAAGATTTTGATGGAATTTTGAAAATTTTTCAGGGATAAGGTCAAGGACAAATGGGATATTTAGGTCATGATGTAGGGTTTAGTTGGTTACATAGAAAGGAGCATCGACTATTGTTCGGAGGACTTTGGATTGAAAGGATTGGATGCGTTTGATGTTAGAGAATTTTGCTGTCCCCCAAAGTTCAAGTCCGTAGGTCCAAATGGGTTTCAGGATTTTCTTGTAGATCAGTAATTTGTTGTCAATTGAAAGTTGAGATTTTCTGGTCAGTAGTCTGTATAACTGGCCGTATCGTCGGTTAAGTTCTTGTCTTTTACATCTAGTATGTGGGTTCCACATTAGTCTTCGGTCTAAGATAAAGCCAAGCTAGCGGACTGTGAAAAAAAAAGGTGGATGGAATTAAAGTGGACTGATGGACAGGATCTGCTGCGGAGTGTGAAGGTAATGTGTTTGCATTTGGATTCGTTTACTTTGATGCTCCATTTATTACACCAGTGCTCAATCATGGAGAGGTGCCTTTGAAGATTCTATTTCGGGATCTGAGTTGGATGATAGAATGGCGGTGTCATCAGCAAATGTTGCCAGGAACTTATTGGGATGGACAGGGATATCGGCGGTAAATAGGATATAAAGGACGGGGCCCAAGACGCTACCTTCAGGAACACGAGCTTCAACTGGGTAGGAGTTGGAAAATTCTGAACCACAGCGAACCCAAAAGGTACGATCAGAGATGTAGGAGCGGAGGATTAGGTTCAAGGACTGGGGTAGATAGGTTTTCAGCTTGGAAAGAAGCCCGGCGTGCCATACCCGGTCAAAAGTTTGGGCTATGTCCAGAAATGAACCCGAGCAATATTGCTTGCTTTCCAATGCTGCGGAAATATGATCGACCATTCGAAGTCCTTGTTGGACTGTGGAGTGTTGTGATCGAAATCCGAACTGATGAGAAGGAAGATTTTGGGATTCAATAAAAGGTAGGATTCGTTTCAGGAGGATCTTTTCAAAGATTTTGGAGAGGATTGGAAGTAGGCTAATTGGTCTGTAAGACGTAGGGTGTTGGGAGATTTGCCTGGTTTCGGAAACAGGATAATAGTGGAATGTTTCCACAAAAAAGGAAAGTGGGTGGTTCTAAGGATGGTATTGTATAAGTAAGTGAGAAATATAACAGCTTTAGGAGGAAGTTGTCGAAGGATTTGAGAGGTAAGGAGGTCGTATCCAGGAGATTTGCGGAGAGGAAGTTTTTGTAAGTGATGTTTGACCTCAGAAGGATTAATTGCTTTAGGAGGTAAGGAAAGTGGAA